AGTTCGTAAGATTAATTAAGTTCGTTAACAAAAAAAAAAAAAAGAAAAAACCTTAAATATAATTGTTACTGACCACTAATCTTTAAATAAAATATTTTGCAATTACTTGCAATTTTATCTTTAACAAAATATCCTTAAATATACTTAATTTTTTAATTAAATTTTCATAAAAAATCAAAAAAACAATTAATATTAATGATGTTTGTAATTGTGGTTGATATTGATAGATAGAAATTGCATTAAGATTTTTTTTTCGAAAATAAAATTCACATTTACCTAGTTTTCTTTGGAGTACGTCTGCATAAAAATGCTAATATTTCTGTACACACTGGCAACAACACAATGCTATTTTAAAATAAACAGAATCAAAGATAATTGTTCGTTTAATAAAATTAAAATAAAAATGTATGCAGTTGACATTTATTTTAATCATGAATAAAAATTACATCGTTCGATTTTACTAGCGAAACATAGTAAAAACTCGTCAAATGCTATTTTGTATTTGATTATATGACAATTTTTGCCGAATGTGTTTCTCTGTACCAGATAAAAATCTCATTTTCCAACGCCAAAACTCAACCAAAGAGAGCATATAGTAAAGTTTTAAATTTTTAGTTTATTAGCTTATTATTTAAATTACAAACTATAATATATACACATATGTATAGTATATACGTAAAAACATTTGAAATATTACGAAAATTAAGAAATTTTGAACTACTATAGTTTTGCAACAATCACACGATATACGCACATATGTATAATAGTTTTCATAATTTATAAGAAATAAATTATTTAATTTAAAACCCATCATCAAGCTTTTACAATATATTATTCATATTTAATTCGACCAATAAATATTGTAACGTACAATGTAAGTAATCAAATATTTCTAAATCTACAGTAATAACAATTATGTGTTATTATTTTTTGAATTACATAAGTGTTAAAATAGAAAAATATATGTTACATATACAACATATGTATAACATGATATCAAGTTCAATTTAACAAGAAGAACAGTGGTATTTATTCCAAAAAATTACGTTATTAACATTACTATCACTATTATATTTACATATATCACTATTATATATTATATACATATATTACTATTACTATTTCACAAATACATATATACGTATGCACATGTAATATGAAACAGAAATAGCATGCATGCCTTATTAATTTTCAAATTTACTAATTTTTTTATTTAAAATATATATTCAACTGCAGACAGCAATAATTAAACATAAACTTGCATAAATACTGTAACGAATTGCACGTTTCTGCAACCATTTTTTTTCATAGCACTTTATTATTACATACTTAATGATTTAATAATAATAACAATTTCAAGAAATAATATAATGAAACTCTTAGAAATAATGATTCTACATTAAATAATCACTTATAAAGTAAGTGTAGATTACAGTTTAAATATCACTGGATAACAAGTGAAAGAAAAAAAAATTAAAAATTGGTTTAAAACTAGATTTTCAGATCAGGACAAATTACTAAAAAAAATTGTGCTACATTTCATTTAATGTAATATATTTACATAAATTACATATGTATACAAACAAGTGTATAATGTGTTGGAAAAGTAATTTTCATTTGCACTTTTAATCTAAAAGCGGAAGTAATAGAAAGATTTCGATATTTTAAGAGAGAGAAAATTTTTCAAATAAATTATCAAATTTAATGTCAAAATTTGACATATAATATGTCATTTTTTATAATATTATGTATATTTATATTTAAAGAATGTAATTATGGTTAAATTAAATTTTGTAATTTTATATTTCACTGCATAAATGGATTATAGGATTATGTATATCATTAGCTTTTATCTTGACTCGTGTTAACTCATATTACGCCTTGAAAAATCAAGAAAATTGCAAGCATAAATGTATTTTCTCGCTAAATGAAATTTAATATTACTAAAATTTTTGATGTACAATTAACATATTTATATACATAAGTACAGATAAAATATTGTAATAAAAACTGATGACTACTATTTAAGAAATAGACGACACTGACATACATACATCTGATTTTATTTAATCTTAGCTCACAATATATTCATACGTACATATGTATGAAACAAATTTAAGGAAATTTTTACTATTAGCTTACTTTACTTACATATATACTTTGAGAATACAATACATATTTACATCGGTAGCAGATATCGAATTTCTATAATTTCAATCAATTTAAATTCGTCAGATGAACTAGCTGCTTAAAACAATAAAGAAAATTAACTTTGGTTGCACAATATTATGATTACTTTTATTATTTTCATTAAAATTAAATAGAATAAATTGTATGCAATATTAATTAATTGTGAAAAGAGAATTTCCCAAATAATTGGGAATTTATTGGAAAAAAATATAAAAAACCACAAATTTAAATATTTAGGCGACACTTTTAATTTCAATTTTTAAACGGAAATTAGAATTTTAGCTTGGTTAGAATTTAAAAATCGTCCTAGTGAAATATGAGACTCAAAGAAATTTGTAAAAAAAAAACGTCTACATATTTAATGTACATACGAGTATTTGTAAAGCTTGATGTGATTTAGGAACATCTGAAAGAAATCTTACCTCTGCATGCATTATACAGTAATTTGAGAAGAGGGTATGTTTACAGAATTTAAATAATTTACATTTATGGCCTTTAAAGCTTTTTTTATATACAAAGCTGAATTACAGATATATTCTTTTTCCTATTCATATACTCGCTCCTTTCTAGATACGCTACATTCCTTGCTAACAGTTTTCGGATAAAAATTCATAGATCAAACTTTTAAAAATTTAAGACTAAAATTAACATATTTATATTGAACAAATTTGAAGCACAGGTAAAATTCGTTAAAATAAAAAACAAAGAAAAACTATAGCAAATTACCAAAAGCATTTTTTGCTTAAATCACCTCAATATACATATTTATGTATTTTATATATGTATTATACATTGTACATTTTTATATGAACGTGTATGTATCTATAAATGTTATGCGATATCTACATAATGTACTCAATCACATGTGATCACAGATGATTTTAATTTATATTTTTGATTTTTTTTTATATCAGTTGTTTGGTATAAATATTGTACATAATTCACAATATATAAATATTATAAAGTTACGTAATATTTCGAAAAACTTGTTCTATGACTTAATGTCGTTTAATGTTTATGAAAATTTTATTACGAATTAAAGAAAATTTCGAACAACAAAAAGAAAATATGAAAAATTGGAAAATATATACGGCATATATGTGTACGCGCACATGTATATGTAATATAATCATACATGTTTACATATTATAAAATTATGTACATTATGTTTCATACACTGGTCGACACACAAAAAGCGAATTATAAGTACACATATGTATGTATAATTATAGAAAAACTTGTGAGACAAGTTCATTTCGTATGGATTCTTGAAAACTTTCCTTGAATGGGATTAAATAATAATTATATTATGTATATTTAAAGCGTATATAAGAATGTATATATTATGTATAACATACGATGAGGGAGTAGTGTTACATACGTACTCTTCCTTGTAACGTTTAGTTGTAGTTTTTTTCTAAAAAAATTACAATAAATATACATAAATAGAATATTATAAAAACAAAAAATATTAATGTTAAAATTGTAAAATATTTAATCCATATAGTATACTTGAACTTAACTTGACCAACAAAATATGCTAATGATAACATTTACTTTCAAAAATAATTGGGGAATTTATCACATAATATTTAAATATTTTTATATAAATATATTTGTTGACTAAAAAATAATATTAATTATTATAAAAATTCGGATATTTTTGTATAATTCACAATGTGGAATTTAGAAATTAGTGTTTACACACTATAAACACACTTTAAAGGTAACACTATATCGATTATACGGTTAATCTTTTCAAATTAACATTTATATTATGCATAACTTTTTGTAAGATTATTTTTTTTATTTTAAATTTTGAAATCTCCGCAATTTTTAAAATTTAAATTTAAAAATAGTTATGTAAAATTAAGCACAGGCAGTTGCGGAACGTTGAATTCACTTTGCAGAATACCCAACATGATAAACGTAAACTAGAACAAAAAAAAAATTTACGAAATTTTAATGGTGAACGTCATCCTTTCTATATTTTCACAACAAATATTTTAAAAATTTTTTAAATTTTGCTGTTGCAAACAAAAAAAGCTGCATGTATTACAAACTTCTCATTTGACTTAATTTGCTATTTAATTTTCTTTCAGATATTTTTAAAAGTTAAGAAACTTCTAAATTGCATAAAAGTTTATTAATACCATTTTTTATTAAAATTACAAAATTAATAAAGAACTCAGTTTATTAGTTTTAACTGCTAATTTATGTAAAACGATACAATTTTACTGCAATTTGGAAGTCACCCTAACTACCTACATTTTTTATTAGACATATTTGCAACAATATTACCTCTTCTAAGCTTTCCGCAGGATAATGTTATATAAAAACATTTTTGAATTGGTACAAATCATTTAGGTTCGAAGTTCCGCTATTGCCTGTAATAATTATGTTATTCGTTTTATGTAGATTTACTTATATAGATGTACGAGTATACATATATGCCAAATTAATTTCACTTATTTTTAATAGACTAGTTTAACTTCAATAGACTAAGTAAATTCGAAAAATTTTTCAGCTAGAAAGAAGTATTTGATCTTCCCTTAAATTAAATTGAAATTATTCAAAATTTTTGAAATTCTATTAAAAGTCACTTTAAACACAAACAATTAAACGTATGAGTGACCAATATTATTTTATATATACATCAATGTTATATTTCATGCTTTTCTAAAGCTGGACCAATTTTTAATTCAATTATAATTTTTCCTTTAATTTCAGTTTACAAAAACATCATCTAATACTACATTATCCAAACTACTAAATGAAACTGAGAAAATAAATTTTCAATAAAATAAAAAATGTTTTACGCCGTCATATTTTTCACCTTCTTAATTTCAATTTTTTTATTTTTTGGAATAAAGAAACCTAAAAACTTTCCGCCAGGACCCAAATGGTATCCCATTTTTGGTAGTGCTTTACAAATTTCACAACTTCGTTTAAAACATGGTATGTTATGTAAAGCAATTAAGGAATTAAATAACTTTCATGACGCAAATGGTGTTGTTGGTTTAAAAATAGGACAAGATAAGGTTGTAATTGTTTATACATGTGAAGCGATTAAAGAAATGATGACAAATGAAGAATTAGATGGTCGTCCTGATGGAATTTTTTATAAATCAAGAACATTTAATAGTCGTAAAGGCATATTGGTAGTTGATGAAGATTTTTGGTTAGAGCAACGACGTTTTATCGTTAGACATTTGAAAGATTTTGGATTTTCCAGACGCAATATGGCTGAAATGATACAAAATGAAGCGCAACACTTACTAGAGGATTTAAACTCAATGGTTAAACAACAAAATCTAAATAAAGATGTGAATGGCAACACAGCGATTTTATCATTTCAAGAATTTTTTCCTGTTTATGTATTAAACACATTATGGACTATGATTGCTGGAGTACGATATGATCGTAATCATAAAGAAATTATGGAATTATTAAAAATGTTTTATGAATTATTTAAAACTATTGATATGATTGGTACTTTATTTAGTCATTTTCCTTTTTTGCGATATATTGCACCTGATTTCTCTGGTTATTCAAATTTTGTAGAAAATCATAGAAGAGTCTATACATTCTTTAGAAAAGAAGTAGAAAACCATCGAAAAACTTTCAGTTTAAATGACGAACCAAGAGATTTAATAGACAAATATTTACAAGTTCTAGCATTACCGGATCATAAATCATCTTTTTCTGAGGAGCAATTGTTAGCAGTGTGTTTAGATATGTTTTTAGCTGGTTCAGAAACTACAAACAAAAGTCTGGGTTTTGCTTTTCTGCATATGGTTCGAGATCCGACCATACAAAAAAAAGCTCAAGATGAAATTGATTCTGTAATAGGACGAGAACGTTTACCTACGTGGGATGATAGAGTGAAGTATAAAATTAAATTTTTCTTTCAATAAATTTTAACATTTTAGTATACTGTACTTAATATTTAAATTTTATCAAACAGTTTACCATATTGCGATGCTATTGTACATGAAGCTATACGATTTTTTATGGGATATACATTTGGCGTACCTCATAGGGCCTTGGTGAACACACGCTTAAGTGGCTACAACATACCAAAGGTTTAAAATAAATTCAGCGCCAACTAAATCAACATATGTATACCTTATTTTTTTTAAATTTCATTTTAGAATACTATGGTAATTGCTTGTTTTCATGGAATGTTAATGGATGAAGATAATTTTCCAAATCCAACAAAATTTTGGCCAGATCGTTTTATCAAAAATAATAAGCTTGTTATCCCAGATACATTCGCGCCTTTTGGTTTGGGGAGACATCGATGTATGGGAGAAGTAATGGGAAAACAAAATTTGTTTTTATTCATAACAACATTATTGCAAAATTATAATTTTTTACCATTAGAAGGTAAACCATTACCAGATGATGAACCAGTTGATGGCGCAACGGCTTCGGTAAAGTCATATATAGCTATGGCGATCAAACGTTGACTGTAAAATTACTTCGATGTCATAATTGATGTCATAATTTTAAAATATTTAAATAGTTTTTGAAAAAAAAATTATATTATATTTAGTTTAAAACTTGATTTTCAAAATAACGCGCAATTTTTTATGACTAAATTTTTTTTTTAAAAATTTTATTTTTAAGTTTTGCCGCATTTAATTACAAAATTTTCTAAAAATAACGTTAAGTAGGTACTTACGCATATTACGTGTTGTTATAATAAGAATTAATCACCAATAAAATAATTAAAAACCATTAAAAGCGATAATTATTAAAATTTTGATTTTAAAACTGCAATCCGAAAAATTGTCATAAAGGAACATACATACATATATACATGTATGTACATATATTTATTCGTATAATATAGTTTATCTAACGATGTTAGCTTTTTCAGCTTTAAAATTTCAAACACTAAATTGCAATATGTCCTATAAAAAAATTTGAAAAAAATTAAAGAGTAAATATTTTATTAAATTGAATACTTACTTTACTCTTCTGACTTTTTGTTACTTTTAACTTCAGAAAAATTTTTATAACCCACAGAGAATTATCGATTATAAGGAACAAGACAATTTCAAAAATTTTAAAGTCTATTTGCCATATTTTATTACCAATTTTATATATTACCAATAAACAATAAACTCATTATAAAAATATTCAAAACGAAACTATTTGAATTGTGAATTGGGAAATAAAAGAATTTCCCTAAAATTGTAATGTTTTATTTATTCTTATGTTGAAGATTTATCAAAATTTAAAAAACCAAAGCGCCCTGAAATTTAAATCTAATGTCATTTATAGATGGTTTATCTATTGTGAATTAATAGATTGGATATCTATCGTGAATTCGTAAAGCTATTTACATTGTAATGTGAATTCACTTTTCCATCTTGTTAATAAATAACGTTTACAACTTAAAAGAAAAACGAAGACGAGGAGAAGATGATAAAGCAGCGATACAGTATTTACATAATATAATGAAATTACAATAAAAGCATTGGTATTAATCATGAAAAAAAATATTTCAAAAATTTTTTACGGAAGAATGTGATAATTTGGCAACATATATGGAAGAATCACATGTTTTCTTTCTCAATTAATAATAATGTCATAAAATCGGATTCACATTACATATTTTTAGCCGGGGTATTTTTTTTATTAAAGTTGAAAAAGTGAATTGATTTAAAACACAAATCTAAGTAAAGCATTCATTTAATGTAAAAACAAAAGGTTTAAAATGACATGTTAATTTGGAACCCATTCTTTACTTTATTCATCTAAAATTTGGATTTAAACGCTAATATGAGCGTCATATGGAGAAAAATTAGAGATCTTTTTCGTGAGAGCTTTCAATATTTTTCACATATTTTATTTACCTATTTTCAAATTACCATTATTACCAATACCTATTTTACATACGTTTGTTACACTGTCACTGTGGGATTAAAATTTCGAGCGAAAGTCACACTCTCAAAACATTGTTTTGCCAGAAGATCCTTAAAAACATTTTTTGACGTTTCTTAAAAGACAAAAGTAAAATTTCGTGGTACTTGACAATTCAAACTTCAACAATTCTATGACTTCTATTATATAGCTCAAAACAATGTCAACAATAATGACTCATAATTTTTGTGCTCTACTTTCGTCAATTGCAATTGTGTTGCCCAGTTGAAATTTTTTTGACATTTAGGAGAAAATGAAATAATAAAACTCAATTTCCTTCCTTCCTACACGATTTTGTACTAGAATATTTTGTGAGGACTCAATTTAAATCCAAAATTTACTTAATTAAAGTATTGTATCAAAATTTCTGATATGTAATTTGATCGTAAACATAACGCGAATAGATGTCACTCTTTACTATTTATTCTCTTAGTTTTATATATTTCTCAATAGAGTGCACTAGTTAATTCACGCTGTTAATGTCAAAAAATATTTTGACACTATATATTTTTCATTTTTATTATTTTCCTCAAAATGTCATACGCCATTTTTAATCGATAACGTAGTTCTGTAAATTTTGTTCTAGGAGCAAACAAGAAAAAATATTTTAGTAGTCAAAATTAACGAGATATAAAAAGAAATTTTAGCAAAACAATTTATTTTAGCTATTTTAATTTAAAATATAGTTAATTTTAGAGTGTTATAGTAGAAAATTAATTAAATATGGTGAGTAAAAGATATGGCAAAGAAAAAAAAAAAAGAATTTTTTTTTTTTTTTGATGTATTAGCCAAAAGGAAATTTTTCATCATTGACCTGTTTAGTGAATATATTATAGAGGTAGAGGAATAATATACAAGTGGTGTACCTTTACCTTATGGATGAAAAAATTTCTTGAAAAGGAAAAGTCGTCTAAAATGACATCGGCTAGTAAATATTTAACAAAAAAAAGAAAATTTGATAAGACGATTTTTTCTTTGACCTTGTTAAAATTTAATATAGAGTTATACCACAAGAAAAAAAAAAGAATTATGTTTAAAAAAGGAAAAATTAAATGGTTTAAATTTATGTACAAAATTTTTCTTAATGGTTTTTTTTTTTTGTTATATTATGAATTTGTTTTAATTTTCAGGGTAACGAGACTTCTTTACCCATGGAGATGTGCTCCAACTGTAAGTAAAACTTTCATATATTAATGTGTTTATGCGTATATAGATTTTTTCATTTGATATCTATCTAATGTGAAAAAAAAAAGAAAAAAAAAATTTATAAATTTTTTTTTATCTACAATTTCTATTGAATGCCATTAAAAAATATTGAATAAGAAATCACAAATTAAAAAAAAAATTTTGATTTATTTTTAAAAAGTGTGTTTTAAAACTTTATTTTTAATATTTTAGGTAAAAAATTAAATTAAAAAGAAAAGAAAAAAAAAATTTTTTCTGCTTTTCTCCTTTTTTTTTTGCTTCTTTTTGGCGCTATTATTAATATTTTGTGTTGTTTGTAGCGCGTTTAGTGACCAAAATCTAAATACCATAAGAAATAACAAAAAAAAAACAACAAATTCAATAACAGTATATTTTATTAAGAGTTATAACGTTAATATTTTTTAATTCAAGTATAAATAAAAAAAAGAAGATTTTGTTTATTAAATGAAAAAAGAAACTAAAAAATAATAACGATAAATAAACGGAAAATTTTTTACTTAATAAACAATTAAATTTTATAAATATTGAATGAATGTTTATATTAAATGCAATAAAGTTTTTTTTTCCTTAAAAAACGTGGCTAATTTTTAACGTACCCACATATAAATTTTCTTATTTTTCAAATATACTTAAGTAATTATGTATCTATGTACATATGTACATATGTATTTTGAAATATACAATAAAAGTAATGTGGAATTGATTAAATATCAACAAAGAGAAAAGAAAAGAAAAATAAATTTCCCACCTGTTACGATCAGTTTTTAATATGTAAAATACCTACAAAATCAAAAGAAGAAAAAAAAAATGAAAAACAAAATTATAAAGTTTTCAATACGTAGGTACCTTACTTACCCCCCTATTATAGTTTTCATTATTGTTATTTGTAAGTTTTTTTTTGTTTAGTCAAATGGGTTTTGTGGTTATTAAAATATATATGAACTAAAATTTTAATTCAATGAAATATTTTTAGAATTTGCATTTATGTCTCATATAGATATTTATATATGCATATAAAACATTAAGTATATTAAAATTCGTTCTAATTCAATTTATATTTGTATTTACTAAAAAAATACAGGTACAACTAAATAATATAGATAGATCCAAATATGAATTCAGTTAAATACCAACTTACCTACTTAACTTACTCCCAAAATTAAAGAATTTTTTAATTTCAATACTATTATGAATTTATTTTTACAAATTTTTTTGCTGATTACCTCTAAAATTTAAGACACATTAATATAATAAATATCTAATACTGTAAGATAATATAAAAGAGATATGGGTAGGCCACAATCTTGGCGATGATGAGAAACTAGATCCTTCACCCATATCTCTCTTCAATAATGTACAGTTTAATGTACAATCTACCTAATACATGGACAATGTACATATTAGAAAAAATGTACGCACTGCAATATCTATACCTACCTAAATATTTCAATATTTTTCTATATGTACATATGCTACATATAAACTCATTATTGAATTTTCATAAAATTTGATGAAGAAATTAAAAAAAAAAAACTCATACCACTAAATAATAAACAAAAATCTTTTCTAAAAAAAATTTTTTTTTGTATTTTCCAAAAAATTAAATACCTATGTAATAAATTCATATTAAATATAAAATATAATGTACATGTTGTATGTACGAGTATGTTTATATAATGTACCTACCTATGTATGTATGATTTTTTTTTAAACAAAAAAGGCTTTAAAAATAATAATAAAAAATAAGAAAAATTCATGTAAATGTTCTGTGTTTACAAAAAACAAAAAGTTGAGAGAAAAATAAGTAAAACTAAAATAAATAAATAAAACGAGTGGGGTAGAAAAAAAACTTTTCAAATAAAATTTCTTCTTATTTTTCTTTAATTTTTCTTTTTGTTCTGCTTATATTTTATTTTTTTTTTTACTTCTTTACATTATAGATACAAATTTGGTATTAAGATCGCCGCTAAATTACTTTATACTGATAAAAAAAAAACATGATGAAAATATTTATTTGTTGTGTTAATTAGCTGCTTACCATCTTTACGCACATATGTATGTAATGTATATAAGAATAAATTAAATTGTATTTTAAATTGTATTATTATTTCTTCATATAAATAATCCCTAAACGAATTAAAAGTTTCATATGTAAGGTACAAATGTCATACATAATGTGGGTAATTGCCCTTACATTCCAGCACACCTTTATAAGAATTTTTCTTGTTTTCCGTAATAAAACTGCTAATTAAACAAACCAAGTAAAAGAAATTGAAACAAATACATATATACATATATATACATACATAAGTATTTAAAACAGTTTATTTTAAAAAAATTGTTTTACAAAATTTGAAAATTTCTTTTTGTGTACAAAAGAATAAGGATATAGGCGGTAAGCTATACCTAGTTAGATAATTTTTCAATGAAAAAGTTCTTCAACGAGAAAAGAATTTCAAACTTTTAGAATATGAAATGATTAAAAAAAAAGGTATAAATAAAAACAATCTTTCAAGAAAAAATATTTTTTTTTCTGTTTTTACTTCTTGAGGCTATACAAACTATGAAAGTATTCAAACTCAATTAAAAAAAATAAATCAAACAAAGTTATATGCCTCGTTATCAGTTTCAAAGAATTAGTACAAGTATTACAAACTAATAGCACTTTAAAGGACATTAAGGCAAAAAAAAAAATAAAAAAAAATTAGACCTCGACTCTTCTTATTTTTTTTTTATTTATAAATAAATACAATTATTATTAATTGAAAAAGCAATCAATTTTATAATTGCTCTATAAAAATCTTTAAATTGTGATTTCAAGATATTTGAATTATTTTTTAACAAGATAATAAACAATTTATTCTCATTTAATAAACACTCGGTAATAATTCGTTTTTAATATATGTACAAGGGTAAAATCTGTTTGTTGTATTCAATAAGATACAACAAATAAGATGCATGGCATATAAGTATTTATAGAAATTAGAAAATATTTAGAGTTTCTGGAATTGTAATTTAACCCCTTGAGTGGAAATTACGCTCGTCAAGGTTTTTTTTTTGTACTAAATTCGAATTTGACGGGCATCGCCCACAATAAGTATATTTTAATTTTTAAAATCATCTGAATTTCTTTGAACTTGTAAAAATAAAAATATTATTATTGTTGCTTTTTTATATTCTAGCTAAATTGATCATAATATAGATAACGGTATAACATTAAATAAAACCAAAAATACTTTAATTTTATTTTATCATAATTCCATTCATAGAATTGCTCTAAATTTAATTGTGTCTGCACGCGTACTATTCTTCGAGATTTAATCGTAAGGCAAGGGGTTAAGTTTGTTTTCGAATAGTATATTATGATTTGTACAATAATCAACATTTACAAATATTTTCACCTGTTCATTTTTACGTTCATATATAGATTTTTTTAATAATCATTATTTCTAAACGCGCTCAAATTCGTAATTTATGTTAATGAATACAAATACGTTTTATCAACATATTGTACATATGTTTGTATGTTATTATTTGTTCTTTTGTTTTCGCTAATTAACTGACTCAAATTATCGCTTTTATCTTTTTTTTTTGTATATTTTTTATCATATCACAAAATTTTTTAATTAGAATTTGCATTTTTTTTTATTTGTTTGTCTTGAAAACAATCAAGAGAAAAAATTTTAACTTTTTAATTATTGTAATTTTTATTTGTAATCAAACCACTTTGTATTTTTCGACCATGTAAGCGCACACAAAATAATTCACTAACTTGGGATTATGAAATAAATTTTGATTAATAGAATAGATTTATTAATATGTATGTAGAACTAGAACTTAAATTGTCAAGAATGTTTTTTTTTTTGTGAATTGTTTGAAGGATGAAACTAATCGAAGAAATTTCATGTTTGAAACATGATGGATTATGTATTTTATCAGATAATTCAACACATAGTTTCTTTGCAGCTTTCCATGTTTTTTTCATTTGCTTCTTACCATTATACACTTTATAAACTCAATATAAGCACATATTATTAAATTCTAGTTCTAGTCAACTTCTTTGTGCATACCTACAAGTAAAATAACATTAATTAAAAAATTTTGTGTTCAAATTGTGACAAGTCAAATTTTTCATTTCGATTTTCTTGTTTTGTTAAACCCATTTACTCAAAATTATTTTCTAGTTTACATTTTTGTTTGATTAAAAATATTTTTAAATTTATTTAATTTTTTAAATTTCTTTTTTTGTTTTTTGTAAGGAACTTTTAAAAATATCTTATTAAAAATAATGTCTGTACTCTTTAAATTAAAGTATAAAGAAAAAAATGTTCAAATTATGAACGGTAAAGTATTTGAGATCCGATAAAATTTTCTTCGAATGTAATTGAATCGTTTCTTTTAAGTATGAATTGTATTATGAATTTCATAATACAATTCGATATTTACGAATTTTACGAGTAATGCAAATAAATGTCATAATTTTTGAAGTTTATTTCAAATAATCGTAGTAATGCAATAAATGTAAAATTAAAAATGTAAACATAAATATGTGATTATTCTAGTAAAATATAGATATTAAAGTTTGAAAAGTGGGGCTACCATTCCACATTAATATAACATTCACATGAAATTTATAATAGCTTAATCATTTTAAGAGCTTAATTCATATTAGGGCTGATAATATCTCATTATATGCAATTTATTATAAAAATTTCTTTAAATTACTCTCAAGTTCTAATATATTTATTGAAAAATTAAATAGAGTTTTAAAATGCATAATAACATTGTGGCAACATTGAATGTTTGCATCCAATATATTGCTGCAATAAATAACATACATAATAATATAATACATAATTATTCATTGTGAATTTCTATGTTTACAATTTTAAATATTTTCGCAATGATTGAAATGTTATATAAATTTCATTATAAATCGAATATCTAATTCAAAATGAATCAAT